TCTTCAGGCATTGGTTCGGGCGATTAATGCTGCTGTCGGGTCTTCGCTGCTGTCCTGTGACTAAGCCGATCCCAAGTGCCTCCGGCAAAGACCAGTCCTTCATCTCCGAAGAGCATCTGCTAACCTCTCTTGATGGATATCAAGTCGGGGTGCATGTGGCCACTGTGGTTGTCAGGCACACCCAGGATTTCCTATATATATATGTATACATGTATATTTCCTATCAGGATGGCTGCAGTCCAGCCCAGACCCTCCAGAACGGCCTTTAAGTTCAGTCTGAGCTCTGTGCTCGGCCACTGACGTGACATGCTTTGACGTTTCTGAGACTGCAGATTCCCCAGAGCAGAAGAGAAAGTTTTACAAATACCGCGACCTTGAAATAAAAAAAATCTCTTTCCTCTTCCAGATTTTTACCACTTGCTGGCTGGAATTCCAAGTAAGAAAAGGCAGCAAAGTTATGAAACTTGAGTTTGTCCTTGCAGATCCGCAGTGAGCAATGCATACTTACCAAGAAGACATGTTACACGCTGTTCTCATCCCTGAGAGAACTGCACTGAGCTGTTAGGGAGGGTCTGAGGGGTTATAATGGTTTAAAAATGCTTACAATTTTTTTTTTTTTGGTAGACTTTAAGCACAGCCATGAACCTCAGAGCAACATGTCCAAGACTCAAGTACAGGCAATATAGCCAGCCTGCCCGTGAGGCACTGAGGGAGATGAAGAAGATTGGAGGTCTGGAAAATGGTGGAAAGCCTTGGATTGGAGGTAAGAAGGTGTTTATAAGGAGCTTTCATGGAGGAAAATATGAGAAAACTAGGTTTCATGAGGCAGACAAGATAATTTTAGTCTAAGTCGCCAGAGTCGTGTGTCTTATAGTTGGGTGGACAGAAATGCATCAGACTGACTTCATAGTTTTATAATGCTTTAGGCTTTTGAAATTGCTTTACAGAAAACTTGTACTTTTGTCATCTCTTTGACAATAATGTACATGGTTGAGGATCATAGACATTTTGATTTAAGTGTGGGACATAATGAGTAATTACAGAGAGGCAGGTGAGCTTCACAAAAGTTACAGCCCTAGAGCCTCAGCAGCTGTTATTGTTGTTGTTCAATTGCTCAGTGGTGTCCAACTCTTTGTGACCCCATGGACTGCAGCACTCCAGGCTTCCCTGTCCTCCTCTGTCTCCTGGAGCTTGCTCAAGTTCATGTCCATTGAGTTGGTGATGACATCCAACCATCTCATCCTCTTCTGCCTTCTCCTTTTCCCTTCAGTCTTTTCCAGTATCAGGGTCTAAATTTTACTTTTTGAAAATAATTCTCCTCTCAGTATGGTAGTAACATATATTCACTGTTGACGATTTTGAAAATGTAAGGTGCACCAAGAAATAAAATCACGTGTAATTCCACTACCTAAAAGTAGTCATTGTTTTGCTATAAATCCTTCTAGCCTTTTTTCTGTATGTAAGCACACACACAGGGAAACGTTTTCTGAATTTGAAATCACATTGCATATCCTGTTTAATAAGCTGAGATAGTCACTTAAGATTGTGTATTTCTTCTGTGATCAAATATTTCCTGTAACATCATCTGTATGAGTTGTGTGGGATTTTGACAGACACTATAGTAGATTCTCTATAATAGTATATCGTACTATATAGTATATACTATATATATATAGTATATACTATAGTATTATATAGTACTATAGTAGATTCACTATAGTAGGTTCTTTAGCTCAACTGCTAAAGAATCCACCTGCAATGCAGGAGACCCTGGTTCGATTCCTGGGTCGGGAAGATCCGTTGGAGAAGGGATAGGCTACCCATTCTAGTATTCTTGGGCTTCCCTGGTGGCTCAGCTGGTAAAGAATCTGCCTGCAATGCGGAAGACCCAGGTTCAATCCCTGGGTTGGGAAGATCCCCTGGAGAAGGGAAAAGCTACCCACTCCAGTATTCTGGCCTGGAGAATTCTATGGGGCTGCCAAGAGTCAGACACGACCAAGCAACTTTCATCTTCTTTCATACTGGATTTTGGTGGCTGTTTGGTTTTTTTCATGAATATGGTTTATAGATGGATATGCTGTTTGAAAGTTAACTTCGGGAAAATGGAACCGTTATCATTCCTTAAATCTTAGAATTCAAAATGCCATGTTCTCCTTCCTTCAACATAACTTTAGCAGCTTATTTGATGGCAGTGTAGTTTACATGTAGTGGCATGCATACACGTGTTAGCATGTGTCAGCTGTGTGGCGTGGTGGCATGTGCATTCTCCCCGGTCATGACACAGGAGGGCCCACATCCTTCCAGAGTCACCCTCAACTCTGTCTGCTGCACCTACACACCTAACTTCTGTCAACACACGCACCGTTGGCTTGCCTCAGGGCCTCTCAGAATCTGAACCAGGCACTCTTGACATCTCGGTTTGTTCTTTCAACATCGTGTCTTTGAGAGGCATCTGTGTTTCTTTCTGCGGGTGTTCATAGTTCATTCCTTTCTGATTGCTGAGTAATATTCTATTATATGAATATGGCAAAATTTCTTTATCTGTTCTCCTGTTGATGGCTACTTGGGCGGCTTCTAATTTTGGGCTTTAATAAATAAAGCTGTTATAAGATGTCTCTATGCAGGATTTTGTTTGTTTGCATGTTTTTGTTTTGTTTTATTTATTTTTTTAAAGCATTATTTCTTTTCCCTGGGTGACTGTCTAGAAACAGGGCTGTCGGTCCTGTGAAGGCCCATGTTTAACTTCACGGGAAACTTCCCAGCGGTTCTCCAAACCGATGGCTCCCTTTCCTCTATAGGCTCAGCAGCAGTGGATGAGAGAGTTGGCCGTCTAGGTGATGGGAATGCTGTGTTGTCATTCTTTTTAGCTTGAGCCATTCGGGGGGACACTCAGGCATCTCATGGTGCCTTTCCTGGTGACTAATTATGTTGAGTACTTTTTTCTTGGGAATGTTGGTCACTCATTTGTCTCCTTTGTGAAGTGTCTGATAGGCCTCCAGTCCTGTTTTTTTGCTGACTTTTATTGGCGTGTGGTTGATTTACAATGTTGTGTTAGTTTCAGGTGTATGGCGATGTGAATCGGTTGTGTGTATACATGCATTCACTCTTTTTTAGGGGGCTTCTCAGGTGGCACTAGTGGTAAAGAACCTGCCTGCTGATGCAGGAGACTAAGCGACCCAGGTTTGATCCCTGGGTCAGGAAGATACCCTGGAGGTGGAAATGGCAACCCACTCCCATATTCCTGTCTGGAGAATCCCATGGACAGAAGAACCTGGTGGACTACAGTCCCGGGGGGTCACAAAGAGTCAGACACAACTGAAGTGAATTAGCGTGCTCTCTTTTTTAAATTATTTTCCCATAGAAGTTGTTTCAGAGTGTTGAGTAGAGCTCCTTGTGCTCTACAGTAGGCCCTTATTAGTTATCTATTTTATATATAGTAGGAACTGGGGTGTTTGTCTTTCCACTGAGCAGTCGTAGTCCCGAGCATTTTAGGTAACGGTCCTCTGGGAGATTTATCTGGGAGCGCTCCCCTCAGCCCGTGCCCTGCTTGGCCATCTGTGTACTGTGTTTTGGTAGCAGACGAAACCTCAATTTTTTCCTGAAAGGTTTGGGTTGTGCTTTCTGTGTTCTGGGAGAGTTTTGCCGACTGAAGGGTGAAAACACATTTTCCTGTAGGTTTTGCTGGCTTCGCGTCTGCAATTATGCATGTACTCCATGTGCATGCTAAGGGGGAGAGGAGGGGATACCATGTGCTCCTCACAGAGGTATCTTACTGTCCCAGCTCCAGACATCAGAATGGCTTTCCTTTCCTTCCTGGACTGAATTGCTTCGGCACCTTTGTTAGAAGTTAATTACTGCATCAGTGTGAGTCTGCTTCTGGCTTCTGGCTTCTGTTCTGTAGATGTGCTTGTTTATCCCCATCTCAATGCCATATTGACTCATTACTGTTGCTCCATGGTAAGTCCTGAAATTGGAGAATGTATTTCTTCAAGCTTGTTTTTTTTCCCCTCAAGTATGTTCTGGGTGTTCTAATTGTTTTTTGGCATGTCACATACATTTTAAAAAAAGAACTTGTCAATTCCTGGTGAAAAAAGATTGTTGGGGTTGATGGAGATTGTATCAAATTTGTAGATCAATTTGAGAAGAATTGGCATCTTAGAAATTTTGAGTGAGTCTTCTGTCCACAAACATGGTGTATATATTTATGTAATATGTTAGTGTAATAACTAATTTGATTTAATAATTAATGTTTCTTATTTCTCTAAGATATATTTTATAGTTTCAGTGTGTAGTCTTACATCTGTTTTATTAACTAGATCCTTAATAATTAATGCTTTTGGTGTGAATTTTAATTACTGTTGTGTTTCAACTATAATTTAAATAATTCATTGCAAATATACAGAAATAACATTGACAGTTTTTATATTGACCTCGTGTCTTGTAACATTACAGTTATTCTAGTAGTTTTTGTTTTGTAGATTTTTTTAGGATTTTCTACATGGACAGTCATGTTGCTTGTGAATAAAGACAGTTCTGTTATTATTATCACCTAATATTTACATATTTTGTTTCCTTTCTTACTTTATGAATTAAGATCACCAGTAAAATATTGAACAGAGAGATGACAGATGCCACTCTTGCCTTGTGACCCAATTTCATAGGGATGGAGTCCAAAGTTTTCGTATAAGGTGTGATGTTAGCTGTGGTTTTTCTGTAGAACTTTTTTTTATCAGATTAAGGGAAGTCTCTTCTATTCCTAGTGTACTGAACGTTGCTGTTTTTAAGTCAAGAACAGGTGTTGGGTTTTATCAAATCTGTTTTCTGTGTCTATTGGGATAGTCTTATGGCTTGTCTTTTGTAGTCTGTTGAATGTCAGGCCTACCCAATATTCCTGGCCTAAATTCACTTGATATTAATATATTACTGTCAAGCCATGACACACTCTAGTTTTTATGTATTTCTTGGACCTGGCAATGTTGACCCAGCCTCCTGCTCCCAGCTCAGACAGGCCTGTCCTCCCCACGGTGAACCTGGCCCCTCTGCTCGTCACTGCAGGCATGCGGGTCACCACCGCAGTGCTTCGACTTGTCTGACGTCGGCAGCCTTGGGGCTTGGTGCAGAGCCCACGTCCCAGAGCTGGCATGGCCTTGGTGGTCAGACCCTTCATCCATCAGTGAACTCTTATCTTGGTCCCTCACTGCCCCCAGCAAGTGCTTCAGACACTGTCAGGGAGACTGGAAAGATGAAAAGCATGACTGGTGGGCAGCAGGGAGGGGTCTGGATGGACCCAGGCTGACCTCACAGCTTACTTACTTTCACCTGCCCACCCCCTTCTCAGAAAGGCCCTGTGGCCTGTCTGGTGGTATCTGTGAAGTGTCCCCTCGTTTTCTGGGCAAAACAGCCATTACACTGTTGTTTTTCCACATCTCTGTCTGACCCGATGACCCTCACTCCAGCAGAAGGTAATTTAGACAGATTAGGACCTTGGCTCCTTTCCAGGAGCCCACAGAAGCCTCCGAGTGGAGACAGTCCAGAAATACACCCGTGTCCACGTGACCAGTCTCCAGAACGTGCTATTTTTAAGATGCTTGAACTTGTTTTCTCTGAGGATAATTTCCACCCTTGGCTGGAAGGGTGGTTTATCCGGGTTACTGTCTCTCTTGACGAGGATGAAGGAGCTGTCCCCAGTGTGGTAGGAATTTTGAGACAGGAAACGTGCTAAGTGTACAGATTCTGAGCCAAATGTGGTCATTCAGTTCAGTTCAGTTCAGTCGCTCAGTCGTGTCCGACTCTTTGCGACTCCATGAATCGCAGCACGCCAGGCCTCCCTGTCCATCACCAACTCCTGGAGTTTACTCAAACTCGTGTCCGTAGGGTCGGTGATGCCATCCAGCCATCTCATCTTCTGTCGTCCCCTTCTCCTCCTGCCCCCAGTCCCTCCCAGCATCAGGGTCTTTTCCAATGAGTCAACTCTTCGCATGAGGTGGCCAAAGTACTAGAGTTTCAGCTTCAGCATCAGTTCTTCCAGTGAACACTCAGGACTGATCTCCTTTAGGATGGACTGGTTGGATCTCCTTGCAGTCCAAGGGACTCTCAAGAGTCTTCTCCAACACCACAGTTCAAAAGCATCAATTTTTCAGCGCTCAGCTTTCTTCACAGTCCAACTCTCACATCCTTACATGACCACTGGAAAAACCATAGCTTTGACTAGATGGACCTGTGTTGGCGAAGTAATGTCTCTGTTTTTTAATATGCTATCTAGCTTGGTCATAACTTTCCTTCCAAGGAGTAAGCGTCTTTTAATTTCATGGCTGCAATCACCATCTGCAGTGATTTTTGGAGCCCCCCAAAATAAAGTCTGACACTGTTTCCACTGTTTACCCATCTATTTCCCATGAAGTGATGGGACTGGATGCCATGATCTTAGTTTTCTGAATGTTGAGCTTTAAGCCAACTTTTTCACTCTCCTCTTTCACTTTCATCAAGAGGCTTTTTAGTTCCTCTTCACTTTCTGCCATAAGGGTGGTGTCATCTGCATATCTGAGGTTATTGATATTTCTCCCAGCAATCTTGATTCCAGCTTGTGCTTCTTCTAGCCCAGCGTTTCTCATGATGTACTCTGCATATACGCTAAATAAGCAGGGTGACAGTATACAGCCTTGACGTACTCCTTTTCCTATTTGGAACCAGTCTGTTGTTCCATGTCCAGTTCTAACTGTTGCTTCCTGACTTGCATATAGGTTTCTCAAGAGGCAGGTCAGGTTAGTTTGATCCACATTTCACTTTATTGAAAGAGGAAGGATTTAAGGCCAGGTGAGCAAAGTCCATCAGGCAAGTCCAAAGCAGACAGACCCAGGCAAACACGTAATGTGTCAACTGTTCCCCAAGCTCTGTAGCTGATTCATCAGTTCCATAGAGTTGCTGATTGTCACCAGGGGCCACTTGCTGTGCGGAGGCCGGACACATACCAGGAAGATCCGTGAGAAGCTCCCACTCAGCAGAGACCACACGAGCCCTCCGCATGCAGGTCGGAGGGAGACATCCCCGGGGGATGGGACATGAGTGGGGTGCAGCCCGGGAAGGGCCACATTGTCTTGGGTTCTGTATTCTCTGCTCTGAAAACTAAGTCATGGTTCCCGAAACGAACACCTTGGGGAGGTGGGGAAGTGCACAGTGGACAACACTCCCTCGGATTAAGGGCGCTGGTCCTCACGTCCTCCTGGGAGTAATCAGAGCATCTGAAGTTAGCGTTGCCCTGTCCCCAAAATGACTGGAGCCCTGTCTCAGGCCTGGAGCCCAGCCCCAAGCTCGTCGGGGGAGGGGGACAGGGCAGGGTTTCACTTGAGAGGACCCGAGGCTCTAGGAAATGCACGGCTCAGACCACCCCCCGGGACCCCCACTGCTGCCAGTCAGACTGGACCTCGGCCTGAGCTCGGCCCAGTTGCATAGTCCTCGATTTTTCTGTTTGAAATCTTCATTCCTGTCCTGCTGTCACTAGTTTAGAAGAACCTGTCTAGAATGTTGGACATGTGTGAGCCCCTCACTCAGGGCCAGCAGGTAGGAGGCGGAGGGCCCACCTTGTCCTGAAGTGCCTCCTGGAAGGAGAGAAAGGCGGGCTGGGAGGGCAGTACCCTGGGAATGGGGCTCCAGTCAGGGGAGCAGGAAGGCCCGCCCCAGGCCTGCTGCTTCAGGCTGGGCTGCCACCTCCCCCGAGGGCCGGGTGATCTCGTGCGTCCAGGGCCTGTCCCAGCCCTGCTGCCCATCCCACGCTGACAGACTGAGGGCTTGCTCTGGGGCCCCCGATCTGTCTTGTCCAGTGAGTTCTAGACACCCACCCCCCGGACCCCTGCACCTGCAAGGATCCCTGCCACCAGCAGGGATGGTGGCTGGGGTTGTAGCCCTGAGGACTGAGCAGGGCCAGCCCACCCCAGTGCCTCTGGGGGCCTCACGGGAACCTCCACGTTGGAGCTCATGAAGCTTGCTGAACATGGCTGAGACCCCGGGCCAGGCCTTCCACCCTTGGCGCTCGGGATCCGAGGACCTCAGAGAGGGGACGGTGTCAGGTACTGAGGGCTAGCAGGGCTGGAGCTGCCCGGAACCCCGGCCTTGCGAGGCTGAAAGCCCGGCCTGTCAGGCGCCTGGCCTTCCTCACCACCTGGCCGCCTGGCCTCTGGGCTCTTTGTTCCCTGAGGCTGAGATCACAGCTGCTGTGGCGACATCAGGGCCCTGTGAGCTTGAAGAAACAGCAGAGAGCCTGCCAGCAATCTAATCCCGGACTCGGCCTGCACTAGCCATTTAAGGAGAAGATGGACGGTCCAGAAACGAGCCGTCGCTGAGGCAGGGTCTCTGTTGCAGGCCGCTCCCCGGAGGCGCTCGTAGAACCCCCACCCAGGGGAGGGCTCCCCCGTCCTGAGCTGCGCATGGTCCTTATCTCACGTGATTCCAGCCCTTACATGCGTGATGCTACCAATCACGGCGAACCTGGTCTGCAGATGGAGTTTCCTGAAGGGTCTGTACCCACGTGGTCCTTCTTTTCGTCTGCTCTCCTTGAACTTCCCAAATCATCTTGCCCGGTGCTTCCTTGGCTGAGCACTCCTCGTGCTGCTGGGTCCCTGACCTCTGCTCACCAAGGTTACAGGCCCCGCTGCCAGGCCAGCAGAAGGGAGTGCCAGGCATCTTTGGCTGGCCGGTTGGGCCCCTGCACAGGAGCCAAGAAGGCACAGCATCACCTTTCTGCAGCCAAAGACCACCTGCCTGACCTGGGGCTCCCACCTGCTTGACCTTGGACTCCCACCTGCTTGACCTTGCCCTGGGGCTCTTGCAGTGACCAAGTCTGGTGTGGTGTGGGCCATCAAAGGAAAACCAGCCAGAAAATCAAAGAGAAGAAAGAGGCATCGGGAAACTAAAGGCAGCGAGACCTCCCATGTGATGAGGGAGGAAATATCAAGTGAAACGTGGTGTCCTGTGATGCAGGAATGCTTGACCTGCTAATTGAAAGCTACAGATGAGGAACATTTGATATCTACACAGTTCACTTATCCAAATTACTGTTATTAGTGAAGAACAATGACAAGGAATTCTCCCACATGCACACATTTGATTTTGGTGATTATTATTTACGCGTGATTTATTACCCCCAGTGCAAAGCACAGCTGGAAGGATCACAGAGATGACTCACCGTTTCCTAAGGCCAGATTTTTGTTTTGTTTTGTTTTTGCCCAAATGATGGTTTTATCGACTCCTGGGATGAGAGTCTGCCCCTGGTGTGTCCCAAGCGCCAAATGTGCTGGAGGAAGTCAGGAACAGGGAATTATATCTTTGTTCCTAATGAGGGGTTCACCTTCCCTTTGTTCTGAAACACGGTGCTCTGAGCAGAGATCTTAAGAAGGATGCAGGTCTAGAACTCTCTTCAAGGTAGGAGGTGCAGACCACGAAGAGGACATAGCAACATCAGTTACGCTCAAGTTGCTGGAGATGATTTAATGACCATGTTTCTGTCCTGGGGACGACGGCTCCTCCATGCCCCTGCAAATGCATGGGGCACATTCCTCAGCCTGCACACAAGGAATTTGCATAACTGTGATATTCCAGGAGCAGAGGGGCAGAGAGGGTCACATTCTTGTCCCGGTGTGTAATTCTGTGCCAGGCAAACCTGGGCCCTCGCTGGGGACCACCCTGCTGCTTGGCTGAGCTGGATGGCTATGGACCATGTGCCTTGTAACACGTGGATTCCAGTAAAAATCCCTTTTCCAGAAAACACTGGAGAAGGGTGAGCCTAGCCTGTGGCAAGTAAGAAACCAGAGCACCAGCAGTGAAGTGTACTCACTGAGCTAAGATAAGACATAGCAGAAGCTGGTCCCCCTAAGCATTGTGTTCTCTGATTTTCTAAGATTTTCTTTGACTGCGATCAGCTACCTCCTGGGTGTACTTGGGTCCTGGAAGGGCATTCCCAAGATGGGTCGGAGGAGCCTTTGCTCCTGTGTCTGGTGTAGAGGCTTGGGGCCGGGGAAGTGGAGGTTAAACAGAACTGCACCCCACCTCCACTCCCACCCACGATGGAGCCACAGACAGGGAAGAGGCTTCCTTACTCATCCATTGCCAATGTCTCCACGTGCAGGCTTGTAGATTCATGAGTGACCTCGCTCTCCTTACCTCCTCATTGTTGTTGTTGTTTAGTCACCAAGTCGTGTCTGTCTCTTTGCAACCCCATGGACTGCAGCACGCCAGGCTCCCCTGTCCTTCACCATCTCCTGGAGTTTGCACAAACTCATGTCCATTGAGTCAGTGATGCCATCCAACCATCTCATCTTCTGCTGTCCCCTTCTCCTACTGCCTTCAATCTTTCCCAGCATCAGGGTCTTTTCCAGTGAGTTGGCTCTTTGCATCAGGTGGCCAAAATATTGGAGCTTCTGCTTTAGCATCAGTCCTTCCAATGAATATTCAAGGTTGATTTCCCTTAAGATTGACTAGTTTGATCTCCTTGCAGTCCAGTACTCTCAAGAGTCTTCTCCAACACCAAAACTCAAAAGAATCAATTCTTCTGTGCTCAGCTTTCTTTATGGTCCAACTCTCACATTGTATATGACTACCAGAAAAACTGTAGCTTTTATTATTCGGACCTTTGTTGGCAAAGTGCATCTCTGTTTTTTAAAACCCTGTCTAGTTTTGTCATAGCTTTCTTTCCAAGGGGCAACCACCTTTTAATTCCATGGCTGTAGTCACCGTCTGCAGTGATTTGGGAGCCCACAAAAATAAAATCTGTCACTGCTTCCACTTTTTCCCCATCTATTTGCCATGAAGTGATGGGACTGGGTGGACTTAACTATCAAAATCTCGTGATGGGAATGTGGTAAGAGGGTTTCTTCTTTACCACAGAGAACATTCTCTGTCTTCCTCTCTGTCCATGTGTCTGTCTGCACACACCACACACACACATGGACACACAAGCGTCCACACAGCCCGGGCTACAACTCAGCAGAGGCCGGCTTCCTTTCCTTCTAGCCTCGTCCTAGCACTTGTCTCTGCTCACTCTAGGAGGGTCCTTATTTAACAGTCTTACTCTATGGACACTGAAAACCTATCACAAACTGTGCTAGAGGTATAAAATTTCCATTTTCTCATGTGATTTATATATGATATGTAAATGTAAGCTTCATATATAAGTAAATAAAGTTTGCATAATTGCAAAGTTAGAGGCTCTGCGACTTGTCCTTTTCAGAATGGGCCCATTGGAACGTGCTCTGACCCTCTTGAGCTGTGTCCGTGGTTGATGACTCCTGACGACCAGGGAGTAGCTTTTAGCTATGAGTTACTTTCAGATAAATGTAGTTTTTCTTTGATAAGAAAATGCCTTTTGAAAATAAAGGACTCAAGGGTGTTTTATAATTTTAAAACCTAAATTTAAATCTAAGTTTTTAAATCTAAATTTCTGTTCTCTAGAAGGGAAATACCTTCTGCAGACATATAAACAGAAAATGGTGGGATGGGGCAGGGACCGTCAGTGGTGCTGGCAGAGTCCGCCCCCTTGGACTAAGCCCTGGACAGACGTGTGAAGGTCATGCACCAGCCGGCCAGCTTCTCAGCAGTTACTAGTTCAGGGGACCTTAGGGCTTCTGCTGGTGGAAAAGGCCGCTGGGCGGGTACAGTTCAGGCCTCCGGACACGTTCTGGAAGCGTCTGTAGCTGTTGTTTCTCAGGGACAGGGTCCTCCTGTGAGCTGAGGTCCGGAGTCAGGGGAAGCCCTGGGTGTGGCTCTGAGTCGGGCTGACCGGAGACCTACGTGCAGCCTCCCTGGCTGACCACCCTCCCTGTCATCCTTGTCAGGCTCACTCTGCTGCAGTGCAGAGCCCCCCCACAGGGCAACCATTCCCAACCCAGTGTGCCCTCGGGGGCAGCTGGTCCATGGGGAGGGTGTGTGTGCAGCATCCCTCCCCACTCAGCTCACACCCCTGCATTTTGGGTGTGTTCAGGGTGCTGTTTACTTGTTCAGTCCTGTCCGACTCTGTGTGACCCCATGAACAGCCAGGCTCCTCTGTCCGTGGAATTCTCCAGGCAAGAACACTGGAGCAAGTTGTCATTTCCTTTTCCAGGGGATTGTCCCAATCTTTCCTTGTCTTCTGCATTGGCAGGCAGGTTCTTTACCACTGAGCCATCTGGAAGCCCATGATGTGTGTGGTGAGTCTGTTTTAGCTGCAGTTGGGTAAGCCCGCTTTATCACTCTCTGAAAATAAGTTTAGTCAAGTAAAGTTCTGACTACATTTTTTTCAGAGAAATCACACTTGAAAAATCCTCAGCTTAACAAAACAAGTCCATTCTGTATAGTTCGGGGCAGACATATCTGAAATAAACAGTTTGTTCAGGGCTGCATTTTAATTAGCTCCTAACTAGAACCTTGGACTTTCTGACTTCCAAGTGAGCTCTCCTGGGGGGCAGTGGGTAAGTTGGGGGAGCCACCCAAACCCAGACAGCTGGTCAGTTACCTGTGGGATTTCTTACTTGTGCTCAGAACGGTACAGTATTCAGCACAGAGAGCGAGATCTCGAAACTTTGTTATGGGACTTGGTGAACTTGAGTTGCTGGTGGGAAGGAGACTGTGGACTTGGAACACAGAGAAGATGACTAGTGTTCTTTATCAGCTGTACATCTCTGTATGCTGATGGCGTGAGGTATATGAATAAGTGCGTGTACATTCGCACACATGTGTGTGCATGTGCATGCACCCTCTGTCGTATGCAGTCATTTGGAATGTGAGAGTTGGACTATAAAGAAAGCTGAGCGCCGAAGAATTGATGCTTTTGAACTGTGGTGTTGGAGAAGACTCTTGAGAGTCCCTTGGACTGCAAGGAGATCCAACCAGTCTAACCTAAAGGAAATCAGTCCTGAATATTCATTGGAAGGACTGATGCTGAAGCTGAAACTCCAATGCTTTGGCCACATGATGGGAAGAACTGACTGATTAGAAAAGGCCCTGATGCTGGGAAAGATTGATGCTGGGAGGAGAAGGAAACGACAAAGGATGAGATAGTTGGATGGTATCACTGACTTGATGGACATGAGTTTGAGTAAACTCTAGGAGTTGGTGATGGACAGGGAGACCTGGCATGCTATAGTCCATGGGGTCACAAAGAGTAGGACACGACTGAGTGACTGAACTGAACTGAACTGAACAGGCAGGTTGTTTGCTAAGCATACGGCTTGTGAGATAGTTATTAAGGTTTGGAGAGGTGTCGCCAAGACAGATCACAGTCTTCATAGAAATGAGCACAGCAGGCCAGGTCCACATCATGGGGGACCAGCTAGTGAGCCTCACGTGTCTGTCTCTTCCCTGAGGACGCCGTGCTGGTGTGGTGTGTCCCGGCTCTGCAGGCGAGACCGCCTTTGGTCACAACAGGGACACGAACACTTCACCCGAGTGAGCAGCACCTGGGGGGACACCCAGGGCACTGAGAAGCCTGACTCCTCCCCCTCGCTCCTCATACCTGCTTCTCCTCAGAAGTGGCCCTTGTCTGCCGGGTCCTCAGCTGCTTCCTGAGCTTTGCAGCCACTGCGGTGGCCTGGACGCTGGGCGATGGTGGTTCGTGGGATGCGGAGGAGGCTGTTCTCCAGATTCTGCCAGATGGTGCTTGTGCTCTGAGCTTGGCCTCCGGCCACAGGTGCTGTGTAGCTGGCCGTGCGACCTGCCCACTGTCCAGGTGAAGGCAAGGCAGCACCTGTCATTTGCATGTGTGTGTACATGTGTGTGCTTATGTGTGTATGTGTGTGCTTACGTGTGTGTGCATGCATGTGCACATGTGTGTGCTCAGTGCAGGAAGCAGGGCTGGATGAAATGTGCTCTCCTTCTCACCTGAGATTGGTGGGGAATGTCCCTTCAGGCCTTGGGCGGTCAGCTCTCCCTCCCGGGGCCCGAATCCTATGAGCAGATGGGGGTGGCCAACCCAGGACCCAGCCTTGGCCGTTACGTGTCGAGCGCACTTGGACCTGCTCATCTCTGTAATGAAAAAAACATGTGGCTTCTCATGTGTAATAACTTCTGACTTCCTGGACAGCTCTTTTGTTTTGTTTACTTTAGCATAAAGTATTCCACCCTTTAAAAATATTACCCTCTCTTTTATCTATTTTATAGTATTAAAATACACAAGCATGTTTATATTTAAAACTGGGAAATGTCAAAAACATTTTTACAGCATCTTTCTTTTAATCTTTGTTTAAAGTGTGGGGTGGGTGGTGGAATAGCTTCTAGGTTATATTCAATTTTTTCCATTTCTGGAAGAGCTTGATTGAGAATTCCAAACCTTTTGTACTGGACAGATGTTCAGGATAAAAAAAAGGCATATCACGTCCCTCAGATCCTAGTAGTTTGTGGTGTATGTTAATCAAGGTTAAAATCAGTAGGGTTGAAATTTTTGCTAATGATATTTAAAATTTTTTTTAACAGCATTCAACTCTTTGAAAGACGCTGTGTTGTAATATATGTTTCAATTTTGATATCTGCTATTTGGAAGGTAACTTGTGATTCTATTACAGGACCTGGGGTGATTATGGGTGGTCATGGTGTTGGCTGTTGCAGGCTTGTAGAACCCTCTCTGGAGTGCTTGCGTGAGTGGGCGAAACCCCCCGTTTTCTGTGAAATAGTGAAGTGCCTACCTGTCCTACAGTCTGGGGACAAGGACTAGGAGTGCCCTTTGCTCTTGTAACTCCAGGCTGATGTGAGCTGCGCTCATGGGAAATTTCTCAATGGTGACAGTATAAATGGACAAATTCTGAAAAAAATTTTAAAAATTCTACCTTTAAAAATTCATGAGTGTGTTTCTTTTCATTTGCGGTTAATGAATCAAGCAAATAGTTTGCCCAGAAATTGTGATGCTTCAGAGATTTTTTTTTGGTGGGGAAGGTATTTATGATCATTGTTCTCTCTTCATCTTAAGTTTTATTTTCTCATTAAATCAGGTGAAAACCTGTGATACTGTGCTATTAATGCCAGAATGACTAGGAGGAAATGATAGGACGTTTTTAATTTGTTAGAATTCCATGTATCGAGTCATTTAATCAGCTAGAATTAGAGATACTCCTAGAAAACAGTCAAGTTAATAATCGTCTGCTGTTAAAGTTGCCTCATTAATGTTTTTTGCCAAGGATTTGGACATTCCTAAAAATACTGGAAGAAAACCCAGAAATTGAAATCGTCATGAACTGATGGCTCCCTTAGACTGAGCTCCCGTCCAGGGCAGGGAACAAACCTTCTGTGTTTCTGCATCCCTGCCTCCTTCCAGAAGGAGAAGGGCCGACAGAGGTTGAGATGGTTTGATAGCATCACTGACTCAGGGAACATAAGTCTGAGCCAACGCTGGGAGATAGTGAAGGACAGGGAATCCTGGCATGCTGCAGTCCATGGGGTCACAAAGAGGCGGACATGACTGACCAGCAGCAACCTCCTTGCCCGCAGCCAGAGACGTAGCACACACAACGATGTTTCTGAAGGATGTGTTTGAATTCACCTTTTTTCTTACTCCCATCGCTTTCTCCTGTAAAGCGGAGCCATCCGGTGTCCTTGCGTCCTGGAGGACAGGTGCCCTCGTGGTGTTGGAGGACGGGTGTCCAGTGTCATGCCCTGGCACACCCCTTCGTCTGTGATGCGAGGCTTCTCTTCCCTGCAATCATCACTGTCCTGAGGAGGACCGAGAAAGACCCTGTGATGACACTTTCAGGTGTGCCTGCTTCTGCGTCTGGACCTCCTGTCTCTGAATCTGGTATCTTCAGAGCCGAGAGGCTGCAGCAGGCCCAACCTGCTTGGACCAGAGCAAAGACACTGTTTGTGTTAATCAGTCGCCCGCCAGGCCCAGTGCATGTCAAACCGTGCTGTCCGTCTCTGTCAGCTGTCCCCAGAGCTAATTAGGGCATTGTGTTAAAGTCCAAAAACAACTGCATTTTTCTAGCTGCACCGTTGCAGCCCCTAGCCTCCCTGCCCACTCTCAGCACCTCTGTCCCCACCCCGGCGACTGGGGAAGGCCAGAGAGGCCCAGACCTCACCGTGGCTGTGTGATTGTGGGGTGTAACTGATATGCTGGGCAAGACAAGACCCGCTTCAGTCTGTCCTTCTTCCCCACAGGTCAGACCAACTGGGTGTTCAACTCCAGTCTGCTTGTACTTCAGTTGATTAGGGTGTTTTTCAGCCTACAGAGTCCTAGCAGAATTCTCACTGAGATCACCCAGGTCCTCTTATTTTGTGGTGGTGGTTGTTGTTTATTCACTCAGTGTCCAACTCTGCGACCCCATGGACTGTAGCCCACCAGGCTCCTCTGTCCAAGGGATTTCCCAGGCAAGAACGCTGGACTGGGTTGTCATTTCCTTCTCCAAAGGGATCTTCCTGACTTAGGGATTCAACCCGTGTCTCCCGCATTGGAGGTGAATTCTTTACCAATGAGCCACGAGGGAAGCCCCCTCACTTTTATTTTATTGGCATATAGTCGATTTACAATGTTGTGTTAATTTCAGGTGTATAGCAAAGTGATTCAGTGATATATGTCACTGGATCACTATATATATATACATATATATATATATGATTATATTTAGAATCCCTTGGGATTCAAAAAAACAGATGATTGTAAACCAGCCAGTGTGTGAGCTGACACATTCTCTTACTGATAGAATGTCAGAAATGTGGGATGTCTCAAAACTAGTTTAAAAAGGGCCCCCGTGGAAGTGAGTGGCCTGCTGTGCTGAGTGAGCTCACAAACAGATGCACAGCCTTGGGACACTGAGGTCGCAGCCATCCGCTGATCACCATAGTTCAGGTGGTCAGCATACAAACATGCTCCGGGGTCCTCCCGAAGCACGCACTTGGCTGGCGGCGAGAGCCTGGTGGGTGAAGAGTCAGATGTGGTTGACCTTGGCCCCAGAAGGGCCTTTTCACGTGGGAGAGCAAGGGGAGGACAGTGCCGGTGTGGACGCGGGAGCTCCCTGCTTTCTCAGACAGCCACCCTCATCGCCGCACTCCTGACCGTGGCATGTGCAGCCATCTTATCTGCTTTGACGTCAGGGCCTGTCTACTCTTCTCCATCCTTTCCACTTGATACCAGTGTCCTGGAACAGTTGCTGTGAACGTACTACTGTTTCCCCAGACGGCTCTCTTCTTGTCCCGCTGCCCTGACTTATGGCGTCAGACCCACACTTCTAATTCCTGTGTCACACAAGGCCTTCTCCGTTTCTCTCTATTTCTTTCTCTGAGATTCTCTCCGCACACATCATACATATGCCAGAGAGACTGGAAGAAGAGTGGGCAAAATAGTAAGAATAGTGGGCTTCCCAGGTAGTTCATGGGTAAAGACTCCACCTGCCAATGCAGGAGATGCAGGTTCGATCCCTGGGTCAGGAAGATCCCCTGGAGGAGGAAATGGCAACCCACTCCAGTATTCTTGCCTGGAGAATCCCATGGACAGAGGACCCTGGCAGGCTATAGTCCATGGGGTCGCAAAGAGTTGGAGACAGCTGAACAACTAAAACAACAACAACAATTAAGAATAGTACATTGGATGCTGAGATCATGGCAGTTTTTATTTTTCGTATTTTAAAGAAATTCTATAAACAGCACAATCCTTTTTTATTAGAAAATATTATCAAAATGGTTCTAGAGAAGTAGAAATCCATAAATTATAAAATAAGATACATCTATATCTAGATATTGATATATATATTTATGTATTCTATGTAGGTAAAATAAATGTATGAATGTTTGTAAATACATTTTAGTCCCTCTTAGATAGGGAATTAATTGAAAGACGTAGTTTTACCCCAAAGGACAGGGATTCTAATTTACACTGGATTTTACTGACATTATGTGGTCATCAACACCGTGACATAAGGGCAATATGGATGTGACTAGGAAAGTCCTGGCCCATTAAACCGTGGCACCCCATGATCATAAGATCCATCCTAATTGTGGTGATGCCGGTACACACATTACAGAATTGATAAGATATGAGGGCCTTCCAGTTTCACACAAACTCAGAGAACAAAGGAGGCGCTGCCTGACTTGTTGCAGAAGTCCAGATGTGGGCTGTGCTGGAGGGGGTGCCTGGCCACAATCTTAGTTGCTGCTTCTGTACGAATGTCACCTCTGCTCGGAGGGCTCTTGTCCTCAGTCCCGCGTACCTTCCTGGTGAATCCTCACTCTTCAAATCAGAGCTCACACACCTTTTCTCACGCCCTGCCTTCTCCACGTTTCCCGGTAAAGCTGGGCTCAGATATTTCTGCACTCTGAGTGTCAAGCTGGGCCCAGCTCTTTCCACACTCAGAGTTTGCTCAGTGTGTAGGACACAGATCACACGGTCTCAGGAGTGTCTCTTTTGTCCCTGTTTCTCTCGAGGATGGTGTCTGCAGCTCAGGCTTGGGACGTCTCTGCCCTGGCACCTTGCTCACTTTTGTAGAAATGTAACAGCCAGGGGACTGAACTGAGTTTAGGAATCTTACACACCTGGTGTCAGCTGAGCTGCCCTGAGGTTCTCCAGTGTTACAGTAACTGGTTAATATTCCGTGTCCTGGTCCCTTTCTGGTGGTGATCTGTTCCATGTGTGGGCACAGGAGCCCTCAGTAACTAACAGATGCCACCGCCGTATCTAAGCATTTGTGTTGTCAGGACACATCATGTAATACTACATTAAGTCCGGAATTAATCACACTCCATTTTTTTCCTTGATGAGATGTATCCTTGAATTCATGTCAAGGATATATTTTATTTTTAAATTTTTTTCATTTATTTTTATTAGTTGGAGGCTAATTACTTTACAATATTGTAGTGGTTTTTGCCATACATTGACATGAATCAGCCATGAACTTACATGTGTTTCCCATCCTGATCCCCCCTCCCGCCTCCCTCCCCATCCCATCTCTCTGGGTCTTCCCAGTGCACCAGCCCTGAGCACTTGTCTCATGCATCCAACCTGGGCTGGTGATCTGTTTCACCCTTGATAGTATACTTGTTTCAATGCTGTTCTCTCAGAACATCCCACCCTCGCCTTCTCCCACAGAGTCCCAAAGTCTGTTCTGTACATCTGTGTCTCTGTTTCTGTTTTGCATATAGGGTTATCATTACCATCTTTCTAAATTCCATATATATGCATTATTATACTGTATTGGTCTTTATCTTTCTGGCTTACTTCACTCTGTATAATGGGCTCCAGTTTCATCCATCTTATTAGAACTGATTCAAATGAATTCTTTTTAATGGCTGAGTAATATTGCATGGTGTATATGTACCACAGCTTCCTCATCCATTTGTCTGCTGATGGGCATCTAGGTTGCTTCCATGTCCTGGCTATTATAAACAGTGCTGCGACGAACATTGGGGTGCACATGTCTCTTTCAGATCTGGCTTCCTTGGTGTGTATGCCCAGGAGTGGGCTTGCTGGGTCATATGGCAGTTCTATTTCCAGTTTTTTAAGGAATCTCCACACTGTTCTCCATAGTGGCTGTACTAGTTTGCATTCCTACCAACAGTGTAAGAGGGTTCCCTTTTCTCCACACCCTCTCCAGCATTTATTGCTTGTAGACTTTTGGATAGCAGCCATCCTGACTGGTGTGTAATGGTACCTCATTGTGGTTTTGATTTGCATTTCTCTGATAATGAGTGATGTTGAGCATCTTTTCATGTGTTTGTTAGCCATCTGTATGTCTTCTTTGGAGAAATGTCTGTTTAGTTCTTTGGCCCATTTGTAGGGACAGTAAAGATTCAAGTGACTTCTGATAGTTTTGGATACTTTGATATATTTATGTTGGTAAACCCGTAAGTTATTATAAGAGGTAATATTTCCTTCAGGGATTTTCTTCAAAGGTGAGTTTGACATTGACCGCACTATCCTCAATAAGGCAGAACTCCACACATCGGAGAGAAAACTTTCCACAAAGTTGGATCTGTTCTAGACGTTTGCGTGTCCCCAGGCAATTGGATGGTTAGGACAAAAATGAAAACACCTCCTGACCGTATCTGTCCTCTATTATGACTAGAGAGTCTTGGGTGCTCCCTGTAAAACAGGTTCCTTATTTTGTAAAGAAGCTAGGCCTGCCGGTTTTCAACCTGTCTCCTCCATGGCAGCTGTGCCACTCAGGTACAGGCACAATGGGTGAGTCTCCCATGGACCACAGGGGAGACACCCACCCCCCGCCTTCCATGGAGCCGGGTGTCAGCGGGGAGTGACCGCACTGTCCTCCTCTGGTTGTTTATCTCCACGGTCCACACGGGAATGCTGGGCACCTGTCTCTGGCACCGTGTTTTAAAGAGTTGAGAGCACGGGTCTCACCGTCCGCCTGCTCCGTCAGCAGCGTCACGGCAGGACCAGATGGCCAGGTTGGCATCCACAGCATCCTGATCACCTGCACGAAGCACTTCCCTTGCTTTCTTCTCAATCAGCAGCTTTGCCTTGAGAGCATCCTTACACAGCTTAAGTGTTTCGGGTTTGTTCTAGAACTGTTGGGCCATATTTACACAGATGCAGCCAAGGCATAGAACTCTTTGGAAGTTTTGAACAAGGTGAGAGGACTTGGTAGAGGTTTGAGTTCCCAGACGAGCTCTTCAGGAGCAGGTGTGAGCAAGTGCGAAGAAAGGGCTGAGCCTGACCATGTCTTACGTACCTGATATTTTCTTTCTTCTTGCAGAAGAAAAAGATTCTTGGAAAAGAGAGCTGGTTCTTAGTTCCTACTGGAAAAAAATACCCTGCTGGGCCCTGGACGGGAGCCACTCTTTCCAGTGGAAACACTGACTTGCAGCACCACAGTCTATTGTAAAATCTACAGAAACGTGGGTAAAAATCTTGCATCTGGTTTGAGATTTATCTCTGCTACCAGGTTAGCCTGTCTGCATTTTTGATTCTGTATGGTTGGTCATCCAGGCCTGGGAGTTGCCTCAAAGGATAAAAAAGAATTATTGGGAAAAACATCAAGAATGGATTTTCTTTTGCTGTCAGTGTCTTATTAAAAAAATACTTTCTGAACAAGCTGGCAGAAATGAGGTAAATGTGAGTTGCTCTGAGGATATTCAAGAAGCAGCTTTTGGGGATCACAGTGCCTTGCTCATCTCAGGATGAAAGTCATGAATTAGGCTTTGGTACAGCAGGCATGCTTTAAATATGGGGCTTCTCCAAGACACAACTTTGTAAAGCCCATGGCACTGCTGAGGCAGCACGTAAGGGCCTTGGTTCACCATCTCCCAGCATCGCTGTGTGCGCCCGAGCGAGGGAGCGACTTCAGAGCACGCGCCGGGTGAAGCTCTGCTCTCTGCCCAGAACTGCTGGTCTTCTCTGTGGAGAAACTGTTCGACAGTCATGTCGGTACCCTTGCTCGTACCCTGTTTTCCATTTCTGCAGGGGTTTATAGCCTGCGTACAGGCGGCTCACTTCCCCACCTGCTACTCTGTTCTAGTCCTGGTCTTAAAAAACTTCAACAGTGATTTTACCATCTCATGGTGTGCATATAAGTGGCTACATCTATTCTGTAGAATGAAGGTATCTGAATGTGGCATGCAAATTCAAGAAAATTCCCTTACCTTGGCAATGAAGGCTGGGATAAGTTGTGAACTGCACATATCTCTCTGATTTAAATAATAGTGGAGTTTTCCTGTTAACACCTGCTCCGTTGTGCTGCTGACGAGAGTCAACTTGAAATAACCCGTCTGAAGGTCAAGAAAGTGTCGAGTAATGTCACACTTGAGTCTCACTTGGGAGGTAAACTTGGTGAGGGGAGGATTCTGGCGTTGACTTGGAATTTCCAGCTTGAGAACGCTTCTTGGAAGTATCCGCTGTGGACCGAGGTGCTCAGAGGCTGGTTTGGGGGCCATGGCAGTGACCCTGGCAGAATTGAGGACCTGGGGCCTCCAGGAGAGAGTCAAGGGGTGGTTGGGGAGATTTTGGGAGATGGTTCCTGTGGTCACCTTCCCTTGCCTCTCCTCTGCTCCTCAGCCACAGTTTTCTTCTCTTTCTTTCTCTCTCTTTCTCTCTGTGTGCCCCCCACCCCGACTCCTCCAGCCATAGGTAACCACCCCCTACTCTCTTCTCCATGAATTTGCCTGTTCTCAGGACCTCATATGGGCATCCCAGGTGGTGCTAGTGGTAAAGAACCAGCCTGCCAATGCCGAAGACACAAGATACACGGGGTTTGATCCCTGGGTGAGGAAGATCCCCTGGAGGAGGATATGGCAACCCACTCCAGTATTCTTGCCTGGAGAATCCCATGAACAGAGGAGCCTGGTGGGCTACAGTCCATGGGGTTGCAAAAAGTCAGACATGACTGAAATGACTTAGCACACACGCAGGGACCTCATATATTGCAGGGAATCATGCAACAGTCATCCTTTTGTGTGTCTGGCTTATCTCACTGAGCTTAATGATCAGGCTCATCCCTGTTGTGTCAGAACCTCATTCTGTTTTTAGCTGAAAATATCTCATGTGTGCATCACATCATGTTTATCTGTGTATCTGTTGATGGACACATGTTATTCTGCGATGTGCTGCTATGAACATTTGTGGACAAATATCTATTCTGTCCATGCTCTCAACCCTCTTGGGTGTTCACCTATGAGTGAAATGGATTCATCTTGTGCTAATGCTGTATCTGACTTCCTGAAGGACCCTTATGCAATGGTCTCCATGCTGCGTTATACACGGTAAGCTGTGCTATCTGCCACGTGTGAAGAACGTGAGCTGTTGTTGCTGCTTGTTGTCATCCCCAAAGCAGGTATTCTGATATTTTATACAAGCTCATTATTGGAGGTGAGCTGAGAGCTTGGGGAAATCTTTTTGCCAAAATTCTGTGCATTTTGCTTTAGGTTTTGAAAAGTGAAAGTGCAAGTCGCTCAGTTATATCTGACTCTTTGCAAACCCATGGACATAGTCCATGGAATTTTCCAGGCCAGAATACTGGAATGGGTAACCTTTCCCTTCTCCAGGGGATCTTCCCAACCCAGGGATCGAACCCAAGTCTCCCATACTGCAGGCAGATTCTTTACCAGCTGAGCCACAAGGAGGCCCAGGTTTTGAAAAGACCATAGCAACATTCTTTAAAATATCTTAACAGTACTACCTGTTTTTGGAGCGTGGGGGCAGGCTATGAAAGAATACATGAATTGTCTTAGTTCTGAATCTTGATTAATTTGTGAGGTCATTTAGAGGAAACTACCTCTATTCAGTTGCCTACAAAATCTGCAGACTTCCTTTATGCTCACAGAGTTGCATGTTTAAAGTATATTTTTGAGTTCTTGTGATAATCTTTTATTTAAAAAATTATGCATACTTGGAGAAGTAATGATCATTTTTAAAGTATTATCATTAAGAGAATATAGCCTTCGAAGTGAATTTTAAAGAAGTTTCACTGCTTAAGCAAAGATGTCTTTCTTCCAACTAATCTGAAATAATGCTCACTGCTTAGCCTATATTATATCACATGATGTTTGCGCATGATGACGTCTCCCAATTGTGTTTCTGAATGGTGAGGCTTTTCCAGATATTCAACCAAATAGCACTGTTGGGGGAGACTTTTAAATCAATTTCTCATCTTAAGAGGGCCCTAAAGCCAGCAGAACACACAGGCATGACTTTCTTTTGTGGACAATTCTGTGTTTCCTTCTCTCTTTGTGTTTCTTTCAACTTCTGGTCATTTTCTATCTTTGAAAGTTATTAAAGTTGTGTGTGTGTGTGTGTGTGTGTGTGTGTGTGTGTGTATGGATATGAGAGTGTATGTGAATGAGTGTGTGTGGGAGCACACTAAACAAATGCTACATTGTTTCAGGGTTTTTTTGTTTTTTTTGCTGCTGAAGTTTTTGCTGTATCATTATCCAATTCATCTTAATTATCTCCTGCTAAATTAAGTTTCTTTCAAGGGAGTTATCTCTAAGATAGTATTTCTTTCAACTAATCTTTGTATCTCTCTTAGGTTCTTTTATAAAGAAAAATATTTTCCATGCCAAAAGAGATTGGTAGAGAATGGCTTTCATTTTTTTCGCTAACTTGGGAATCATTTTGGCATAAATAAACAAAGATGAAAAATAATCAGCTAAAGAGTCCAGTCATTAATTAATTCACATTTTAAGGCCAAATTTGCAGAATTCCTTCTTCTATGTCAAATAACAACAGAGTCACCCCCACCTTAATAACAAGGTAGGGAAATTCAGTGGCAGAACACAGCCCTGTGCCCAGGGTCCCTTCTCCTTCCTCTGCCACCAACCAGCCGTGGGCTTTGGATAAAGCTCAAGCCTCAGTGTCTTATTCTGTTAAATTAAGATGATTGACCAGAAGTCTCCACCATAGACTTCAGCTCTGAAATACCACCAGTCTCTGGTTACAATAGACCTCTTGGAGATACTGGGTTTTAGCTAATCAGCCTCTTAATCAGCTCTAGGTCACTGCAAAGACACTGAATTCCTTGTTAAGAAAAATGTTTACTGTAGCACGCCAAGAGAGCATGGATGAATAAGGGAATGGCTTCAACTTCTAATAAGGATTTTCATTGTTGTAGGACATCTAAGTTTAACCTTAAATTAAGAAAATATTTTCAGAATGGAATGTTTTGTTTTAAATGTCTAGTTTTTTTTTTTTTTCTGAAGCAGTTTCAAACCTGATTTTAGTAAATAGAGATGTGCAGTAGAAACAGAAATTTGTGAATAATATTTATGTGGAAAGAATAGATTAAAATGTAGGGAAAGACCTAGTTCAGTAATGTGGCATTGTTGACCTCTCACTGTTATGTGGATCCTCAGCTCGAGTGTAGTGTGTGGATGTTGGAAAAATGGTGACCGTGGGGGACAGGCTGAGGCACATATATACAGATACACCCTGTGAAGGGAGTGTGCTTATCTTAAAGGAGTTTTTCCAATTTGTGACATTTTAGTGATAGGAGTAAGTCGACAGAGTAGCAAAGAGCAGCAGTGCTAACCTGTCCTTGGAGTTTTTAGGGAGGAAGGGAAATTGCTGAGACAGCGACTTCAGCAGGCGGGGGAGCCAGGTGAGCTCAGGGTGACAGGGTGACATCTCAGCCGGGTGTCTTCAGGGCATTTGAAGACTTGAAACTGGCCAGGGTGCGCATGCATCAGCAGAATTAAATGACAGGAGAAATCACCGCCTGAAGAGATCAGCATTTTCAAGTCCATGGTAAGGATGGGAAGTATTTGCTAGCCATCAAAACAGTTACCCCCAACGTTTACTCCCTATTTGTCATTCAGCCGCTAAGTCATGTCCAGCTGTTTGCAACCCCATGGGCTGCAGCATGCCAGGCTTCCCTGTCCTTTACTATCTCCTAGAGCTTGCTCAAATTCATGTCCATCGAGTTGGTGATGCCATCCAACCATCTCATCCTCTGTCACCCCCTTCTTCTCTTGCCCTCAATCCTTCCCAGCATCAGGGTCTTTTCCAATGAGTCAGCTCTTTGCATCAGGTGGGCAGAATATTGGAGCTTCAGCTTCAGCATGAGTCCTTCCAATGGGTATTCAGGGTTGATTTTCTTTAGGACTGACTGGTTTGATCTCCTTGCAGTTCAGGGGACTCTCAAGAGTCTTCTCCAGCACCACAGCTCGAAAGCATCAATTCTTCAATGCTCCACCTTCTTTAAGGTCCAACTCCCTAATTACGCATATGTTTAAAATGTGGATCATTGCTAGATTTTTAAATGACACAACTCTCTGTCTCTGCCCTGGAGTTGAAGCGCCCAGGTCTGGACCTCACCTGATCTTTGTGCATCAACCCCAGCAAGCTGGGGACCCTCGAGGCATGACTGGGGTGTGACCTGGTGAGGGGGTGGGGACTGGCAGCTGGCGCCCCACATCCCAGCAGGTATGAACCGATGTGGCAAGTCACTTGCAGATAGATGATTGAGTGTGATCATTTTTGATGAGTTAAAATGCTCAGCCTGTCCTTGGGGAAAGCTAGTTCATAATTGATGAATGGTATTGCATCTTTCCTCTGCCATATTCTCCCCCCTCCTCCCATTTCAATCCATTTGTGTGTGTGCGTGTGAGTCGCTTACTATTTAAGTCTCTGTCAGTCAGTTCAGTTCAGTTCAATTGCTCAGTTGTGTCCATCTCCTTGCAACTGCATGGACTGCAGCATGCCAGGCCTCCTTGCCCATCGCCAACTCCCGGAGTTTACTCAAACTAGTGTCCATTGAGTTGGTGATACCATCCAACCATCTTATCCTCTGTCGTCCCCTTCTCCTCCTGTCTTCTATCTTTTCCCAGGGTCTTTTCTAAGGACTCAGCTCTTCGCATCAGGTGGCCAAAATATTGGAGTTTCAGCTTCAGCATCAGTCCTTCCAATGAACATTCAGGACTGACTTCCTTTACTATGGGCTGGTTGATCTCCTTACAGTCCAAGGGACTTTCAAGAGTCTTCTCCAACCCCACAGTTGAAAAGCATCAGTTCTTTGGCGCTCACCTTTCTTTATGGTCCAATTCTCACATCCATACATGACCACTGGAAAAACCATAGCTTTGATTAGATGGACACCATGCTGGGTCTTTAATAGCAGGTTTCTATCCCTGATGACTCTGCTCTTGTCCTGTGTCATATCCACGCAGGGCACTCCGTCTGCCCACATGATCACTGCTCCCTGGCCTTGCCTGGTGGTTTCTTCACACTGAGATCCCCAGTGTTACTGGAGGGCTTTTACTGTTGCTCAGGACCTGGAACACACAGGCTTCCACCTATACCCGCCTTCTCCCAGAGTACTCATTTATTCATCCGTTATTTATCAAATGCTTACTGGGTCAGGTATTTGCCCTTACTTTCCTGTTGTTGTGCTCTCTGGTTACCTATTGTCCTCTGTCTATCCTATTTCACTATGTCTTTCCCACTATCTTAGGTGCTGATGGGGAGAACA